ATAGATATAACGTGATTTGACGTCATTTTATTGGTAGCCAATGACCTTGAGCCTTCTTGGATGGGCACTTCTAATATAAGTATAAGGCAGCACCTAAGGGGCTTACATTTTCAAGCTCTCCCCGTAGATTTTGTGGTGACGTACTGTCCCCATGAGTGACAGAACACTGAGCCAATCACGGCACAACTAGAGAACATAACCAACCCCTACGCTCTGTATTTTCCGCTGGCTGCCCCACCACCACAGAAAGCACTGAGCTAGGCTGAAACACCTGCATTTTCGAGCTGCCTTACTCTAGAAAGCAAAACAGAGACCATGTTAGTATGCAGCTTTATATATTTTTTTCTTACATTGTTTGCAAACTGATATGTGACAGGTATTAATGCCAAAATAACATGCAAAACAGGTAACAAAAAAGATATATATACCGTATATATATTTAATTTTTTGCTAAACAGGTGGGGCTCAAAAGACAGGTGGAGCTGAAAGACGGGTCACCACTGGTGTAGATCTTGTTGAGATGTTTTCCGGTGCATTTATTTGCACCTCAAATAAATGCTTCACAGAGTTCAAGTAACAGACACATCTCAACATCAACTGTTCAGAGGAGACTGTGTGAATCAGGCCTTCATGGTCAAATTACTGCAACGAAACCGCTACTAAAGGACACCAATAATAAGAAGAGACTTGCTTGGGCCAAGAAACACGAGCAATGGACATTAGGCTGGTGGAAATTGTCCTTTGGTCTGTCAAAATATGAGATTTTTGGTTCCAACCGCCGTGTCTTTGTGAGATGCGGTGTGGGTGAACGGATGATCTCTGCATGTGTACTTCCCACCGTAAAGCATGGAGGAGGAGGTGTGGTGGTGCTTTGCTGGTGACACTGTCTGTGATTAATTTAGAATTGAAGGCACACTTAACCGGCATGGCTACCACAGCATTCTGCAGCGATACGCCATCCCATCTGGTTTGGGCTTAGTGGGACTATCATTTGTTTTTCAACAGGACAATGACCCAACACACCTCCAGGCTGTGTAAGGGCTATTTTACCAATAAGGAGAGTGATGGAGTGCTGCATCAGATGACCTAGCCTCCACAATCCCCCGACCTCAACCAAATTGAGATGGTTTGGGATGAGTCGGACCGCAGAGTGAAGGAAAAGCATCCAACAAGTGCTCAGCATATGTGGGAACTCCTTCAAGACTGTTGGAAAAGCATTCCAGGTGAAGCTGGTTGAATGCCAAGAGTGTGCAAAGCTGTCATCAAGGCAAAGCGTGGCTATTTGAAGAATCTCAAATAAAAAATATAGTTTGATTTGTTTAACACTTCTTTTGGTTACTACATGATTCCATATTTGTTATGTCATAGTTTTGATGTCTTCACTATTATTCTACAATGTAGAAAATAGTAAAACTAAAGAAAAACCCTGGAACGAGTAGGTGTATCCAAACTTTCGACTGGTACTGTATATGTAGCAGAAAAGCTGTAAAAACCAAAAAAGATATGTGTCCTCCGAAGAGGGGATGGGTTAATATATTTATTTAAATACAAAATAAATAAATAAAAAAGTTGTCACCTCTCGATTCGCTCATCTGGTCAAATAAACAAGTGACAAACACAGTATACAAAGGCCTCTGTGTATGTAAAATAGATGGTTCTGTGGATTTTCCTGTAAATATTCCATTCAAACTGAAACTCTTTAGAGACTGCAGTATAACAATGCAGGTTTAGGATTGTTTGATCTTGCTCTCTCTAAATACAGGTTACTGGACAACGTTGCAATCTTGTGGTTCTTCATACCAAAAACAACTTCAGTTCCAAAGCGTTTCCCTATTCTTACCACTGCCAAACAACCTTCTCTATACAGATCTACAGTAAGACTGCCATACACCCCTTCTATCTGTCTTACTGTTGTCTTCAGTATTTACAGGAACAGGTTCAAACATGGTGAGATGGGCAGGTGATGCTTTATATGGAACGATGGGCTCTGAGAAGAGAGACAATGTGAGAGATAGAGAGAGGAAAGAACAAGAGAAAGAAAGACAAAATAAATTAGTTTAAATACTTAACGCAAGGTGATTTCTTCATCAATTGTTAGAACGCATCAATACTTTAGAAGTATGTAGGCTACTTACCGTCGTCTATGGAGTTGACTCTGATGTTGAAGTGAACGGGACCATCAATATGGCAGCTGGAGAGCGAAGGGGCCACAACATGGCCGCCAGTCTGAGATGTACAAATGAGGTAGACAGGAGAGGCAGGAACCGGAATTGAGGCAGCTGCTCCGTCAACTTCAGCCTTTACTGAGAGAGAGCTAGAGAGAATAGTTTTTTTGTCAACTCCAACACAGATTTTTCCAGCATATTTATTTTCTCAAGCAATACTAAGCCGTGTAGGTGTGAAAGAATATGGTATATCCACCTTGGTGATCTGCCATTAACTTCTTGGTGAGATCATTCTGATTAATCTTTCTCAAGATTTCCAGTGAGATCTTCATAGCTCCATCATGGCCGTAGGAGTTCACCATCGTATCCACGGTGTCCTGCCGTCAGCGTTCTCCAGATGGCCTTGGGGATGAGAGAAAAGCCATCTGGTACGTTCTGAGTCAGGTACCAGTGAAATGTCCAACTAGCTCCTTCAGAGCAGCCAGTAGCAGCTCGGGGACTGGAGCAGGTGTCGCCATCGTAGAACACAGAAATGTACACTTCAGACACGGACATGTTCAAAATGTGTTGAACTGAACATTGCGTATTTATTCACACACGTTCTCTGCAGAAATAGAACAACTATTTCTCGGTCTAGCTTCTGAAATGTCCATCACTCCTTTACTATGCATCACTACATCTCACTCTCGCTGTCTCCCTCACCCTCTCTCTCTCTCTATTAGTCATCTCTTGTACCAGTCAGTGAAACAGTTTCCTGTATGATGTGCTTGGTGGAGTGCTACAGATCAAAACAGGAAGCTGTCTGTCTGTAGTTTGATGTTCGGTTCTGCAAGCGTTGCTAAAAACTGTAATTTCCCCACAATCTACCATGTTTTGTTGAAACATGGGTGTCTTTTTCATGTCCTCACATGCCCACAGAGCTAAACAGCTCTACCTTCTGTCATATAAATTAAGCTAGTATCCCTTTGATAACTTCCCCACTGGGCACAGATGTCAATTCAACATCTATTCCACATTGGTTCAACGTAATTTCATTGAAATTACATGGAAACAACATTGATTCAACCAGTGTGTGCCCAGTGGGTCCTTTGGGCTGCTCTAGCAGAATAGAACACAACCTGTGTCACATCTTACTCTGAGGACCTGAGATTAGTAGAATTGTCTAACATTATCATAACCAAAAATGTCATTCCTTGTGCACAACTGATGTCATACAATTCAAGTGCTATTTGCACAATAAAATGGCAAAGGATCCATTTGCTCCATATTGTGGTTTGCACAAACACTGGTTTTGTTTCTTTTTGACTAATTTAATTGAAATCAATTATAATAAAATAATAAACAATTATACACTGAGTGTACAAAACATTAAGAACACCTTCCTAACATTGAGTTGCACCCCGCCCTTTTGCCCTCAAAACAGCCTCAATTCGTCGGGGCATGGACTCTACAAGGTGTCGAAAGCGTTCCAGAAGGATGCTGGCCCATGTTGACTTCAATGCTTCCCATAGTCAAGTTGGCTGGATGTCCTTTGGGTGGTGGACCATTCTTGATACACATGGGAAACTGTTGAGCATAAAAAACAGCAGCGTTGCAGTTTGACACAAACCTACTACCATACCCCTTTCAAAGGCACTTAAATATTTTGTCTTGCCCATTCACCCTCTGAATGACACACATACACAATCCATGTCGCAATAATCTCAAGGCTTAAAAATCATTATTTAACCTGTCTCCTCCCCTTCATCTACACTGATTGAAGTGGATTTAACAAGTGACATCAATAAGGGATCATAGCTTTCATCTAGATTCACCTGGTCAGTCTGTCGTGGAAAGAGCAGGTGTTCCTAATGTTTTGTACACTCAGTGTAAGTGACATTATTGTTACTCAGAAATTATTTTATATGGAATTTATTACCACTGTGCAGCACCTTTAAACACACACACACAGCTCAGTTGGAGAGAGGTAGTTTCATGTTGACAGTATAGTATTTATTATAAGCAGAGAGACAGACAAACCGACACCCCTCCAGGTGTTACACTACATTTGGCACAGAGTGAAATAGTGTGACCAGGAACAATTTTACCCCGGGGTGCACATAGCATCACTACATCGCCTCTAACAGGCCTGCCATATCAACCACCTCTGTCTTTAACACTGTACACTATACACAATTATTCTTAGAGAGTGTGTGTGTGTGCATCTGTGTGCGTACATAAAGTAGTGCACTATATAGGGAAGGTTGCGATTCCCTCCTCTAGCTACTGTTGACAGTTTACAAAACAGAACATAAAATGGAAATACCAGTAGAAAAGCAGCAGGAACTAAAAGTGTTTTTGGCTGAAAGAAATGGCTTCTGGGAGGAGGGGGTTACTATGGGTTACTAAATCTCAAATGCACACACACAACACGCACCATACACAAATATAGAGACAGACACACACACTGGACAGAAATAGGGAGTGTGAGTGCGAGCGAGGTAGTCTGTACTACATTGAGGACTACTCGTCCCTGATTGGGTGAAAGTAGTTGAAATGAACTAGTTGGACGCTGACGCATAAGCAAATGAAACAAACTGTACAAACAAAACAATATTAACCAATCAAATACATCTCCTGTCAAGAAAATAAACAATACCATACATATCCAGCCAAGAAATAAACACACCGATAAAATATATATAATCAGGGTCATTTACCTTGGAGTTTGCACTTTTGGGACTATTCCATTGGTTCCTTTGTACCAGACAAACCAAATAAAGCACAACACAGGTATTTTATAAATGTATTTGACAGATGTATTTGACCCAAGGTATAGTCTTTCTCACTACAGTGGACAGTAGTAATAATAGTAACCAGTAGCACCGGTCCATGCTTCAGACTTCTCTACGGACACAACACTTTGTAACCAATCAACACAGGCTTTATACACACATCTAAACCATAGAGTTCTCAAGTCTGTATCTCTGCACAGAAAGAGAAGCCTTTAAAGTCCTCCTGGTTGATCTGTCTGATAACGGCCTCGTCTGTGGGAGTTAACACTGGGTCTTCTCTGGTGAAGTCCTGGTCAAAGTTATTCACATCACGCTTTGTCTTCTACAGAGAGAGAAGAAGAGAGCAAGAGAGAGAAGGCGGAGTCAACCAGGAGACACGTGTTTGTGTGTGTGCGTGTGTTTGTGACTTACAATGCGTGGTTTGAAGGGGGGTTTGAGTCGTCTCTGCTCCAGCAGGGTCCAGTCGATGTCTTTGAAGAATGAGTGTTTCTTAATGGCCTCCTCACAACCCTGAGACAACACACACCCTAACCTCTGGGCTGGAGCCTTAGTCATAAACTACACACACACACACACACACCAAACAGAGGGAGAGACAACAGTAAGAGGGAGAGATCAGTACAGACACAATGATGTTAGAGAAAGACAGAGAGAAATGCAGAAATGCAGAAAGACAGAGATCAGTTCACACAGATGTAAGAGGGGTGAGATAAAGGTGTACAATGATGGAGTGATGGTACGTACAGCTCTGAGGATGGATACAGCCTCCTTGCTGAGCCAGACAGGGTAGAGGACATCGTCATGGAGGATAGACTCAAACAGGTCGTCTTCGTTGTCTGCTTCAAATGGAGGCTGGCCAGCCAACATCTCATACATTAACACTCCCAGAGCCCACCAGTCCACTGATGGACCATACTCCAACTCCTGCAGGATCTACACACACACACATCATCATCATTATCTTTAACATCTGAGGATCTGAAAACACCATCACACGTCAGACACGGGGGAATGTTTAGATATACCTTATGGGACAGAAATGTATGTAACACTGGCTCAGCTCACCTCAGGTGCTATGTAGTCAGGCGTGCCACAGAATGTGGTGGTGGTAACTCCATTGATGATGCCCTCCTTACACATGCCAAAGTCTGCCAGCTTACAGTGTCCCTCTGCATCCAACAATATGTTATCTAACTTCAGATCCCTGAGAGAGAGGACATGGTTGCCACCAACAACAAAAAACGTAACACTGGTTCAATAACAGCAGTTACCATGATATAATTATCATGTGGTGCTTGAACATGTGGGCTGTGGTTCAAGGTCAGGGGTTAAAGGTCAGATGTTACCTGTATATGACCCCGTTGCGGTGCAGGAACATGAGTGCAGAGGTGACTTCAGCAGCGTAGAAGCGAGAGCGAGCCTCGTCAAACTTCCTGGAGCGTTGGATCTGAAACATCAGGTCTCCTCCGTTCACATACTCCATCACGAAGAACAGACGGTCCTGGAGAAGAGAGGAGAGGGTTGGGGTGTGTTTGTGTGTATGTGTGCGTGTCCGTGTGTACATGCGTGTGTATTTGTAGTGTGTACCCGGGTCTGGAAGCAGCAGTAGAGCTGGCAGAGGTAGGGGTGTGTGCGAGCCAGGGCCAGGATGCGTTTCTCTGTCAGGGTGCAGTCCACATCATCATCCTGCTGGATCACATCCTTCTTCAACACCTTCACTGCAAACACCTCCTCACTGCCTTTCAGCTCTGCTAACATCACCTGCAGAGGGAGGGGGAGAGAGAAAGAGAGAGAGAGAGAGAGACTTTACACCTCACAACCCTTCAACATCAGTTCCATCCCCATGATGCCGCTGATGGTCATTAGTAGCCTACCAAACTTGCTAACGGCCAGTCGCTAATGGCCTGGTACTCAGCGCTCTATTGTCCCTCTAATCACTCCGACATCAATACAAATGCAATCAAAAATCTAATCATACACTTCAGAGTTTGAGTGGAATAGGATCACCTGTTGCGCAGCGAGAGCCAGCTCCTCATAGCTGGTTGATGCATGGAATTCAATTAATGTTCCTATAAGCACATGTTGCGCAACATTTCTATAGGCTATGCTATGTAATTGTGTGAGAAAACAGGGTTTTGATGACCTCTAATAAAAAGAGTAGGATCCCATCAGCTTTCTATAGGCTAGGCCTACTATATACATTTCTCAACTTTCCTAATATTAAACACATTGCTTCGCTTTACGACCAGAGTAACCTACCTTACTGGCATGAAAATGAACCGTGGGAAAAGCGTCCTCCATTCGCTATTCAAGTGCATACGGATTACATGTATTTTTCCCCCCTGCCCCTGTTCCGACAGGTGCATGAAAATGGCCCATTCTACACTGAACAAAAATACAAATGCAACAAGCAAACAATTTCAAAGATTTTACTGAGTTACAGTTCATATAAGGAAATCAGTCAATTGAAATAAAAAAATGAGGCCCTAATCTATGGATTTCACATGACTGGGAATACAGATATGCATCTGTTAGTCACAAATATCTTTTAAAAAAGGTAGTGGTGTCGATCAGAAAACCAGTCAATTTCTGGTGTGACCACCATTTGCCTTATGCAGCGCGACACATCTCCTTCGCATAGAGTTGATTAGGCTGTTGATTGTGGCCTGTTTTTCCTCTCCTCTTCAATGGCTGTGCGAACTTGCTGGATATTGGCGGGAACTGGAACACGCTGTCGTACACGTCGATCCAGAGCATCCCAAACATGCTCAATGGGTGACATGTCTGGTGAGTATGCAGGCCATGGAAGAACTGGGACATTTCCAGCTTCCAGGAATTGTGTACAGATCCTTGAGACATGGGGCTGTGCATTATCATGCTGAAACATGAGGTGATGGCGGCGGATGGATGGCACGACAATGGGCCTCAGGATCTCGTCACGGTGTCTCTGTGCATTCAATTTGCCATCGATAAAATGCAATTGTGTTCGTTGTCCGTAGCTTATGCCTGCCCATACCATAACCCCAATGCCACCGCTCACCCACACGACACCATACACACAGTACAGTTGAAACCAGGATTAACCCATGAAGAGCACACTTCTCCAGCGTGCCAGTGGCCATCGAAGGTGAGCATTTTCCCACTGAAGTCAGTTAGGACTCCGAACTGCAGTCAGGTCAAGACCCTGGTGAGGATGACGAGCACACAGATGAGCTTCTCTGAGACGCTTTCTGGTTCTTTGGTTGTGCAAACCCACAGTTTCATCAGCTGTCCGGCTGGCTGGTCTCAGACCAGGTGAAGAAGCCGGATGTGTAGATCCTGGGCTGGCATGGTTACACGAGGTCTGCGGTTGTGAGGCCGGTTGGATGTACTGCCAAATTCTCTAAAACGACATTGGAGATGGCTTATGGTAGAGAAATTAACATTACATTCTCTGGCAACAGCTCGGGTGGACATTCCTGTAGTCAGCATGCCAATTGCACGCTCCCTTAAAACTTGAGACATCTGTGGCATTGTGTTGTGTGACAAAACATTTTAGAGTGGCCTTTTATTGTCCCCAGCACAAGGTGCATCTGATCCTGCTGTTTAATCAGCTTCTTGATATGCCACCCCTGTCAGGTGGGTGGATTATCTTGGCAAAGGAGAAATGTTCACTAACAGCGATGTAAACAAATTTGAGAGAAATAAGCTTTTTGTGCATATGAAACATTTCTGGGATCTTTTATTTCAGCTCATGAAACATGGGACCAACACTTTACATGTTGCGTTTATATTTTTGTTAAGTATAATTTCACACATATATTATTTAGTATATGTAAAGACAAGATTAAATTGAGAATAGTCTGATGGGTGAGAATATTATCACGTGAATGATGCCCAGCGTGTGCAGTCTAAGGCCAGAAACAGCGCGACTTTTTCAAATCATAGTCACATGCATCATGTATCCTAGCCCATAGGCCTATATGTTTTGATAAGGTTTGTATTACAACTAAAGTGGCCAAATAACTCCAAGTGTAATCTAAAGGCCTAGGAGCAGGGTTGGAGTGCCCATAGCCTACAGAGAGCCTAGTGCAGGGTTCCCCAACTGGTGGCCCGCGGGTGGTTTTATTTGGCCCCCCCCAATTATTCGGAGAAAAAATATTTTACAGAAATCTGTTCCCAAGTACTCCCATGCGTAATAGAGAGACACGTGATCGTATACAAATGTAGGCAAGTTTTTAAATGATTATGTTTTAGACAAACATTATATCTGTTTGGGCTTCTTGCGGTCAGTTTGCAGTCTACAAATTATTTGTAATTATGTTCCGGAGTTTTGACTGGCCACTATTTAAAAGAAGATCCCAGCTTTTTCGTGGCACTATATTTATTGCTCCATTCTTAAAACTAAGCACATTAATCCACTTTACAAACGGTGCAGACTACCTGGCATATTAAAAACCTAACCGCACGTAACCTCCATTCGAGTGAAGGCTACGGATTACATTATTTTTTTGTTGGCCATTATAAATCAAACATAATTCCACACATATGTTAGTAGGCTATATGTAAAGACCAGATTAAATTGAGAATAGTCTGATGGGTGAGAATATTATCAAGTGCTTATCAAATTGTGAATGAGAGACTGATGAAGTGTGTGCAGCCTGTGCAAGAAACACCTTTCATGCGACTTTGTTCAAATCATTATTACAGTTGCATCATGCAGCCTTAGAATGTATTAGAAATCAAAACATATAGCCTAAGGTTTGTATCACAACTAAAGTTGCATAAATAACTCTAAATTAAGCATATAGGAGAACCTGTTACAAATTATCACTTTGTTAACCACTCAACACAGAATAGCCGCATGTGCGCAGTCCCTCGAAAATCGTTTGGGAAAAATATCCTTTCTATTTTATTTTCTTCAGCTATGTTCAATTGTATTCTTCTTACTATAAAATAATGCCACGGGAATTGTAAACTAATCTTGTCTGCTAAATCAACTAGTCCAGCCCACAGCCATATGGCATAGCCAGATCAGGGCCTAACATAAGGACGACTCAGAGTATGCTATTTTGTTCTTCTGAAATAGGCTACATTTTCTTCACATCATAATGTTTCTTTAGACCTGCCTAAAATAAATAATGGATTTATTGTGATGGTGTAGGCTAGGGATGGGCAACTCCAGTCCTCGGGGGCCTGATTGGTGTTACACCTTTTGCCCCCAGCCCCAGCTAAAACGCCTGACTCCAATAATCAACTAATTATGATCTTCAGTTTAGAATGCAATTAGTTTAAATCAGCTGTGTCTGCTAGGGATGGGGGAAAAGTGTGACACCACTCCGGCCCGAGGACTGGAGTTGGCCATCTCTGGTGTAGGCTATATTAAATGGATTTATTACACTAAAATGTAGATGTTCCAAAGGTCTGCATCAGTGGCTTGTAGGCTATGCCTGGAGATGCTAAACGTGTTTATGTTAATTAACGGTCAATAACCGTGAGACCGGCAGTTATTCACATGACAGTTACCGGCTGACAAAATGCTCCTCCCTCTCCCTCCTTCTCCTCCCTCTCTCCTCACCTTTCCGAAGCTTCCTTTCCCCAGGACCTTGATGAAGCTGAAGTCTTTGAGAGTCCTCTTCACTGCTCCGTTCTCCCGCGAGGTAGAGGAGGCGTAGGAGGAAGTGGAGGAGGAGGAAGAACCTTGCATCTCTAACGACATCCCCTGTTGTAGCCGCTCCAACTCTGCCAGCTCTGCACACACACATAAATTAAGTCAGACAACTTTGTGTCTTCGAGTATGTTTGTGACCGTGTGTGTGTGTGTGTGTGAGTGTGTGTATTACCTTGCTGTGAGGGGGAGGTGAGGGGAAGCTCGTCTGAGAGTTCTGAAGGTGACAGGGATTCTACCCCTGGGGGTAACTAGAGAGAGAGGGGAAAGAGCAAGTTATCGTTATCATTGTCATCATTTCCATCGTCAGTCTGTGTGTTTATACCTTTTTCCTGCGCTGTGCGGTAGTGGAGATCTTGTCAGGGGTGACTCCCATTTCAGCCAGGACTTTGGCGATGCCTTTGGCATCCACACCGCAGTTGGGAGCTACGTTGGCCTCACACCTCTTGTGGACATTCATCTTACACACTACACACACACACACACACGTCATAGTTAAGAGCTACATTATACTCACACCGTCTGTTGACAATGAACACCCATCTTGCATACTACCACACGCGTGCACGCACGCACACACACACACACACACACACACACACACACACACACACACACACACACACACACACACACACACACACACACACACACACACACACACACACACACACACACACACACACACACACACACACACACACACACACACACACACACACACACAGGTGCCATACCCTTGCATTGCAGGCCCTGCCTCATTAGTCCCCATAGTAGAGATCCACAGTGGTCACAGAAGGTAGGGGCCTTGTAGTTGTGGTTGCTGAACTTATGAGGCATGTTGACACTAAACCTCTGGGCACCAACCTGGAGAGAGGGAGGAGGTAAGGAGTGAGGGAGGGAGGGAATGAGGGAGAAAGGGAAGGAGGGTGGGAGAGTTAGGGGGAGTTTGGAGCTGTGATAGGAATCTACACCTAGTACATAGGAGCATCTCTCTACACACTCTCTTATAACAGTTATGACCAGAGCACAGAGGAACATAGGCCTATAGTTTATAATAGACAGAGTTTGGCATTTGTGGGTCCAAACCAAAATATATCATGATAACTCTGTGGTGGCCAATAACAGTCCACAATACCTCCTCTGGTGTATCCTCCTGCTTCTTCATTCCGGCACACTTGGTGATGATGTGCTCATGGCAGCGCTTGTGGACCACACACGTGCACACTGCAATAAACACACACACAATTACACACTTCCACAATTACACACTTCACTGAACAACACACAATAATAATACAACATAAAGACAATGTGCATCTCAATAACGTCTCAATTCATTCTAGAATGTTCAGGTATCACTAGAACTTTCATAATAATTCAAGAACCCAGACAGAAAGACAGACAGACAGAGACAACTTGTACTCACCCTGGCATTGGTAACCCTGCTTTCCCAGTACTCCCCTATAAAATCAAAGAGAGAGAGTGAGAAAGAAAGAAAGTCAGCATTTTGTAGAGAAAATAGGGATATTGGCAGCAGGTAGCCTAGCGGTTAAGAGCGTTGGGCCAGTAACCGAAAGGTCGCTGGTTTGAATCCCTGAGCCGACTAGGTGAAAAATCTATCGATGTGCCGTTTAGCAAGGCACTTAACCCTAATTGCTCCTGAAAGTCGCTCTGGATAAGAGTGTCTGCTAAGAGACTAAAATGTAAATACACTATATCGCCAAAAGTATGTGGACAACCCTTCAAATTAGTGGATTCGGCTATTTCAGCAACACCCGTAGCTGACAGGTGTATAAAATTGAGCACACCGCCATGCAATCTCCATAGACAAACATTGGCAGTAGAATGGCCTTACTGAAGAGCTCAGTGACCCTTTCAACAAGTCAGTTCATCAAATTTCTGCCCTGCTAGTGCTGCCCCGGTCAACTGTTAAGTCCTGTTATTGTGAAGTGGAAACGTCTAGGAGCAACAACATCTCAGCCGCGAAGTGATAGGCCACACAAGCTCACAGAACTGGACTGCCGAATGCTGAAGCGTGTAGCGTGTAAAAATCGTCTGTCCTCGGTTGCAACATTCACTAGTGAGTTCCTAACTGCCTCTGGAAGCAACGTCAGCACAAGAACTGTTCGTTGGGAGCTTCATGAAATGGGTTTCTATGGCTGAGCAGCCGCACACAAGCCTAAGATCACCATGCGCAATGCCAAGCGTTGGCTGGAGTGGTGTAAAGCTTGCCACCATTGGACTCTAGTGTGTTGGAAACGCGTTCTCTGGAGTGATGAATCACACTTCACCATCTAGCAGTCAGACGGACGAATCTGGGTTTGGCGGATGCCAGGAGAACGCTACCTGCCCCAATGCATAGTGCCAACTGTGAAGTTGGTGGAGGAGGAATAATGGTCTGGGGTTGTTTTTCATGGTTCGGGCTAGGCCCCTTAGGTCCAATGAAGGGAAATCTTAACGCTACAGCATACAATGACATTCTAGACAATTCTGTGCTTCCAACTTTGTGGCAATAGTTTGGGGAAGGCCCTTTCCTGTTTCAGCATGACAATGTCCCTGTGCACAAAGCAAGGTCCATACAGAAATGGTTTGTTGAGATCGGTGTGGAAGAACTTGACTGGCCTGCACAGAGCCCTGACCTCAACCCCATCGAACACCTTTGGGATGAATTGGAACGCCGACTGCGAGCCAGGCCTAATCGCCCAATATTAGTGCCCGACCTCACTAATGCTCTTGTGGCTGAATGGAAGCAAGTTCCCACAGCAATATTCCAACATCTAGTGGAAAGCCTTCCCAGAAGAGTGGAGGCTGTTATAGCAGCAAAGGGGGGTCCAACTCCATATTAATGCCCATTTTAGAATGATATATTAGACGAGCAGGTGTCCACATGCTTTTGGTCATGTAGTGTATTCTATTATAATTATTGGGGCTGATTTCTGAGCTGCTTTATCTGGGTCTCACCAGCAGAGGGAGCCCTAGGATGGAACAGAGGGTTGAGGCTGGTGTGTGTGTGAGTTTCTCACCAGATGAAGTCTCGGCAGTGTGAGCAGTAGGTCGGTTGCCGTAGATACGTGGCCATGAACTTGTGTCCGTTAACCTGATGAACACGCCTCCGGACGGCCCCCTGCCGCTTCCGAGGACCAATCCGCTCTCGGAACACACGCTCCTCATTTTCATTGGCTGCTGAGGCTAACGAACAGACAGACAGACAGACAGCATTAAAGAGGGGTCCAATTCTCAATCCCAAATCACCCCCTGTACCATATTACTTATCCTGTAACATCTCCACCTGTGCCTAAGGAAGGTTGGGGTAGGGGTAGAGGCTTATGTCCAATGGTGGATTGGACACAAGATCATTCCTAAAAGTACAGTATCTTTCTCCCTCTCTCGCTCCATCCTCCCCTACCTCTCTTTATGTCTTTCTGTGTGGGCACTACAACTAAGGACAGAATATGAAGATTTCAACATTTTCTTCTCCTCCAGCCCCATCGTTTTACCTCCCTCCCTCCATCTCTCCCTCTCTCTGTGTCCCTAGGACCGAATTAGCCTTATGAGACAAGAGAACCACCTCCACTCCTCCTACTCTCTGTCTCTCTCTCTGTCGCTCTCTCTCTCTCTAGGTTGTCTTGCAGAGGTGGTTACTGTGTGTGTGTGTGTGTGTGTGTGTGTGTGTGTGTGTGTGTTTGAGAGAGAAAACAAGAAAGTGGAGCAGCTAAACAGGCCATTACTGAGATCAGTGTGTTTTTACATAATACATCATCCATCTGTTCACACACACACACACGACACAGCGGGGCGGGGTTAGGCAGGTGTGAGTGATTGCCGTGGAGACGGGTGTACTATGAACTCGCAGAACACTAACTGACCAATCACAGCACACACACAAACATACACAATCACAGAGGATCTCAAGTAAGGAAAAGTGAGAGAGGAGGCTAGAAAGAGAGTATATAAAAGCTCAACAACCAGGGTAAAGGGAGTGAAGAGGAGCGAATGGTGGAGTAGAGGTAGAAGAAGTATAGGAGGATACGCAGCAGAAGAAAGAGAGATGATGGAGGGAGGGGAAGGAAGGGGACGAGAGAAGGCCCCTGAGCAGCACAGAACAGATTGCAGAGAGAAGAACTCCTAAAAATACATCTTTCTCCTCTCCCCTCTCTCTCTCTCTCTGTTATTCTTTTTGACTCCCCAGTTCTTGCCAGTCCTTATATACAAATATAGTACAAATGAATAATAAGCATAAATTAGCCAGCTGAACTCGGAGGAAGTTCAGGTGTGAGAGGGGGTCTGGGAAGCAGTCCGGCTGCACAAATTAACCAATGATTAAATGCCAAAACATCTAAATTACCAGTCAGGCATCAGATTGCAATATCATATTGATCTAGTCAATGACATGTTGAGGGAGAGAGAGGGAGAGAGAGAGGGGAAGGAGAGAGAGAGAGAGAGGAGAGAGAGAGAGAGAGAGAGAGAGCGAAGATAGAGTACGCCCCCTCATAGAGACTACTCAGACCTGAGAGCGCTCACTCTCTCTCTCCGCGCAGCCGCAGCTCTCTCAGCTGCCCTCTCACTCCGATCTACTCGCTCGCCTCTTCTTCTCTCTCGCGCTTCTCTTCTCGCCTCGGCTCTCCCTCTCTCCTACCCTTCCGTTCACCCACGCGACTCCCCTGAGAGAGCTCTCGATACCTTTCCGACTTCAGAGCTTGTGTGAGGCTGGGTGCAGGACAAAGGAATGAGAATCGATTGAGAGAGAGACACACACACACACAAACACACACACAGCTTTACCGACTGGCCTTCCAACAATAGCCCTAGGGCTGGTGTCTGACCTCACTCTCTATGGGTAGAACAGTAGGTTGTGGGTGAAGCAGAGGGTTGTGGGTAGAGTAGTTTTACCTTCAGTAGAAGATCCTGACAGATCGATAATCACATAGACCTTCCCCTCTGGTTCTAAATCAACCTGGAGAGAGAGAAAGACAGTCTGTTTTGATGTACAACACACTGTATGCACACACACACACACCAATGACATCATAGAATAGTAGTATAGTCCAGCTGTTATGACGGAAATGTATCTCCAACACCCAGACATTCAAACACATATTATTGAGAGGAGCACCTATAGCTCCTGGAGCCATGTAGGTGTTGTCAGTTAATTCTCACATGTTTTATTACCCACACCAGGATTTGAACCTGCTTCTGTAACCTAGGCTACCTGCCACCCTCCATAGCTTCAATGGCAGCTGGCCTCACAAGTATTTTACATTTTCCAAATGGAGAGAGAGTGGGGAGGGAGAAAGAGAGAGGGAAAGAGAGAGGGAGAGAGAGAGAGAGCTGGGGACAGACAGACAGACGGACAGACAGACAGACAGACAGACAGACAGACAGACAGACAGACAGACAGACAGACAGACAGACAGACAGACAGACAGACAGACAGACAGACAGAGAGAGAGAGAGAGAGAGAGAGAGAGAGGGGGGGCTGGGGATAGACAGAGAGAGAGAGAGAGAGAGAGAGAGAGAGAGAGAGAGAGAGAGAGAGAGAGAGAGAGGGATGGGGGTTAAATCCTAGGCTAAGCTCTGGACAGCCGTAGATCCTCTTACGCAACGCTCTGCCTGTCATATAGCAGATCTGCCACCATACACAGACACACACACACACATAGAGCATATAGCAGATCTGCCACCATACACAGACACACACACACATTACATATGTATGTAGGCCTAATATAAACACACACACATACAACAAGATGGCTAAGTTAGAATCACACACTCAGAGACATTGCATTCCTGAGACTTTAACTACTTTACTGTCGCCATGGACATGGAAAAATTAGTTCACCTCATTAATCTGGTTAGCCAATTAGGATGCAGGGATACAGCCCCAGCCACACACACACACCGTATCATTGGGTGTGAGTGTGATCTGTGAGTGTCTGGTGTCTAGGGAACCTAAAGTAGGTTGCAGACTGAGGCCAGCATTAAATACACATCTGAGTTCTCACTCCCTGACACACACACACACACACACTGACAGTTCACACACACAGCTCACGTTACACTTACACTGTGTCTGCACCGCTTCCTATCATCATCTCTCTATCCCTCTTCTTCTCCCTTGAGTCCAGTAACTTCTCTCCCTCCCTTTCTCTCTCTCCCTTTATCTCAAATTAAATTCGATCTGCTTTATTGCCATGACATAGATAGGTAAACATTGCCAAAGTAAGGGAGTTTTAAATGCTATTTATTAATAAAAATCACTTTTTAAGTCACCCTATTTCATCCTTTTCACTAAGGCCATATATGACACACATTAGGTAGACACACACAAACACACACAGATTGTATTGTTGATCAGGTTTCCATTTCCAGTGCCTTTGTGCTTGTGAACGCACTGGCCCATTGGTGTGTGTGTGTGTGTGTGTGTGTGTGTTTACCAGGGCATCTTAAACCCAGTCTGCCCTACTTCTACCGAGGGTCACTGAGGGGCGTAGCCAGTGATGTCACTGCCCGGCAACCATCCAGTTATTACCCAGGAGGCCACAGTCAGTGATGTCACCACAGAGACAGGAGAGGAGGGTAGAGGGTAACTAGCTGTAGCAGTACAGAGAGAGAGTATTGACTAGGCTGGCTCATCAATAAAAACGGATCGATCAGCGGAGTGATCCATTGATCTGCACACTCTGACCTCACGCTGGTTGACAGAGCAGGACAGGAAGCCCTAGGGTGTGTGTGTGTGTGTTACAGTGCCTTCAGAAAGAATTCACACTCCTTGACTTTTTCCACATTTTGTTGTGTTACAGCCTGAATTTTAAATGGATTAAATTAAGATTATGTGTCACTGGCCTACACACAATACCCCATAATGTGAAAGTGGAATTTTGTTTTTTGAAATGTTTAGAAATGTATTAAAAATGAAAAGCTGAAATGTCTTGAGTCAATAAGTATTCAACCCATTTGCTTTGGCATGCCTAAATAAGTTCTGGAGTAAAAATTTGCTTAACAAGTCACATAAGTTGCATGGACTCACTCTGTGCGCAATAATAGTGTTTAACATGATTTTTGAATGCCTACCTCATCTCTGTACCCCACACATACAATTATCTGTAAGGTTCCTCAGTCGAGCAGTGAATTTCAAACACAGATTCAACCACTAAGACCAGGGAAGTTTTCCAATGCCTTGAAAAGAAGGGCACCTATTGCTAGATGGGTATAAAATAAATAAAAAGCAGACATTGAATATCCCTTTTTGCGCATGGTGAAGGTATTGATTACACCTTGGATGGTCACTACATGGATGACATGGATGATCACACCCAGTCACTACAAAGATACAGGCGCCCTTCCTAACTCAGTTGCTGGAAAGGAAGGAAACCTCTCAGGGATTTCACCATGAGGCCAGTTGTGACTTTAAAACAGTTACAGAGTTTAATGGCTGTGATAGGAAAGAACTGAAGATGGATCAAAAACATTGTAGTTACTCCACAATACTAACCTAAATGACAGAGTGAGAAGAAGGAAGCCTGTACAGAATAAAAAATATTACAAAACATGCATCCTGTTTACAATAAGGCACTAAAGTAAAACTGCAAAAAGTGTGGCAAAGAAATTAAATTAATGTCTTGAATACAAAGCGTTATGTTAGGGGCAAATCCAACACAACACATCACTGAGTACCACTCTATATATTTTCAAGCATGGTGGTGGCTGCATCATATTATGGGTATGCTTGTCATCGGCAAGAACTAAGGAGTTTTGGGGGTTAAAAAGAAACGGAATAGCACTAAGCATAGGCAAAATCTTAAAAGGAAAACCTGGTTCAGTCTGCTTTCCAACAGACACTGGGAGACAAATTCACCTTTCAGCAGGACAATAACCTAAAACACAAGGCCAAATATACACTGTTGCTTACCAAGACGACATTGTTGCCTAGTTACAGTTTTGATTTGAATCAGCTTGAAAATATATGGCAAGACTTGAAAATGGCTGTCTAGCAATGATCAACAACCAACTTGACAGAGATTGAAGAATGTAAAAAATAATAATGTGCAAATATTGTACAATCCAAGTGTGCAAAGCTCTTAGAGACTTACCCAGAAAGACTCACAGCTGTAATCGCTGCCAATGGTGATTCTAACATGTATTGACTCTGTGGTGTGAATACTTATGTAAATGAAATACTGTATTTATGTATTTATGTATTTCATTTTCAATACATTTGCTAAAATGTCTTTTAAAATGTTTTCACTTTGTCATTATGGGGTTTTGTGTGTAGATGGGTGAGAAAAAAAAAGTATTTAATCAATTTTGTATTCAGGCTGTAACACAACAAAATGTGGAATAAATCAAGGAGTATGAATAATTTCTGAAGGCACTGTACATACTCATCAGCCCAGCCCTCAGCAGGCCCCCTCAACCTCTACACGTCACACACAGGTACAGACAGACACAAATGTTCCTAAATTAATTTTGCCTGTGTGCCACAAAACTGTGTTAGCCTGCTGAGCTAAAGCCTATGCATTAGCTTGGGGAGCTAATTCATGTCTTAATTTTACATTTACATTTTAGTCATTTAGCAGACGCTCTTATCCAGAGCAACTTACAGTTAGTGAGTGCATACATTTTTCATACTGGCCCCCCGTGGGAAACGAACCCACAACCCTGGCGTTGCAAGCGCCATGCTCTACCAACTGAGCTACAGGGGACTACAATGTCTCAGGCAAGGATGATTCTCTCTCTCACACACCCACACACACACACACACACACACACACGTCTTCCTACCCAGGCCTGGTAGTGTGTGCTGCCGTTCTGCAGAATGTCCTCCAGCTGTATGCTACAGTTAGCCACAAAGTCGTCATATCCGATTGGTGCATCATGGAACACTGACATCTCCAATTTCCGTCCGTCCGTCATCTGGGCTGTAAAGTCCTACAAAAAAATGGGAATAGAATAATATAATATAATTTTTGTCAATCTATCTCCAACTGCAACATTTTGTTGGCCAGATTTACACCAGCCACCTTCTTCTCATTAGTCCGCCTCTGTAACCTTTAGGCTAGCCCTAAACTGAAGCGCATGATTAGTTCAGGTGTGTTTGTGGTGGGCTGGAGCGAAAGTGTGCCACCAATGCTGCCCTGCCCTGGAGGAGTGGATCTGGTACAGTACCTGGTTCCATGCTGGTGAGTTGGTCCTGTTCTTGGTGAAGGTCTGTCCCAGGTGGGTCTGGTCCAGGTTGAGGGTGAGGTAGGGGTCCAGGAGGAATGAGGATGAGTTCTTCCCCCCTGCATGGCGGAGTGCCCAGGGGGTGGGCTTCAAATCCACCGCCTCACACACACGCACCTTCAACACCCCACTGAACACTGGCATGGTGGTGTGTTTGTGTGTATGTGTGTGCAGAAGGTCTGTCTGTCTGTAAGTCTGTTCTTTCTAACTAGTCACCATATTAGATAGGTAATCCTGCATACTGTCACAGATACACACACATAGCCTACACACACACACACACACACACACACACACACACTGTCTCACACACACGGTAATGTTAAAACGTTAACATGGGTAAAACACCCCTCTTCGCTCCTAATAGTCTATAGGACACACCCCACAGTCCGGTACCAAGCCTGCTTGCGCCAAACCAGGTCGGAACAGACTACAGACAGTGCCCTCTATGTTTGTTTACAGTCCGTCCCGTGCAGATGGCAGAGATAGAGAGGGTTGTCGTTAACAAAAATAACGAATAACGACGCTATAGAAGAGGTCTCGGTGGCGGGAGGTGAGGAGAGAAGCCCGATGAGGAATCACAGAGAACGGCTCCGGTCCTGATCATCTGATCGAGACTGTCCCCGGTAGAGCAGCTGCTGTCTCGGGCTCAGGGCGGGGGAGGAGACCTAGCCATCCGCGATCCCTCCACCGTGTCCCGTGCCGGTCGTAAGCAGCTCGAGCTCAGTAAACAGCTCCGACAGAATCTGTCTTGTACGGGGCTGGTTCTCTTCTTTCCCGGGATGTCTGTCTGCTTATCCGGTCGGTCCCACGGGTTACAGGGCTAACCAGTGACAGGCTATCGGTCCCCCTGAATCTGTCTCTAGTTTTCCTCTCTCTCTGCGCGTTCACCCGTTTCCCCAGCGGTTTCCCAGTGTGAGCGCGAGCTTCAGGAAATGCGCAAAACGCGTCAGCCGCGCAGCTTGCGCTCTGCGCGGGATAGGGGATTGTGTGTGTGTGTGTGTGTGTATATGTGTGTGCTAGATACCACACCCAATATGGTCAATCAGACAGCCTCTCTGCCTAACGAAAGGACACACACACACACACACGTAGAAGAGATGGTTTGGTACACTGATGAATAGCCTAATGGTTTGGCTTTAGCTCAGCGTGCTAACAGTCTTGTGGCGCACTGACTGCGCAGACAACCAAGGTTCAAATCTAGTGGTTTACCTAAGGACACAAGAGCGGTGTGTTGATGAAAACTTGACTGTGTCCCTGCTATGATGTCATACATTATATCCATCTCCATGTTGTCAGTAATGTCTACTGTCATGTCTCCTTTGTCGCGCGCACACACACACACACACACACAGGGGATCCGCAATAGGTTTTTAGTTCATCCAGTCACTTTAGGATGAAATCTCTGTAACTAAATTGTTGCCTATTTACATTTTTTACATGTAGGCCTAGGCTATTGAAAGCAGTTGGCTAACTCCCCTCAAATGTAGCCTACTCTGAACATTTCATGACTCTAGGACCAAGAAAATGTAGGCCTATTTAAAATAGCTTCTAAAGTTTTATAATTGTATATTCGGTCATGGGAAAATATGGCACTTTTTTTCAATTTCCAGAAAAGTTTCTGTTTTGGAGATTAGGTTTTCACCAAGGACATTCTACTGGAGACATGCGCGTGTGTAGATCGATGGCTCTGCATTCTAGTCTGTTGTCTCCATCTCGGGGCCACAAGGAGGAAGTGCGCCTGGCAGAATAATCACTCATTATAGCCACCAGAGTGCACTGTTTCACATGATTTGGTGCCAGTTTATGTTCATGCAGTGATGAAAAAAACACCTCACAGAGTTGGTATGGCAAAAAGCAGTCAGATTCCCTGAATGACAACGCTTTATACATTGTAGAACAACGCCCAACTCTAGTCTAAGAATAAATTCACTAAGAACAATAAATTAATTTGTATAACGTAAAAACACTTCATTAGGCCAACAACGTATTTGTACTATAAACCAACAAATAGGCCTTTACAGTGCTTCAACGGGCCTTCTGTAAATACTTATGTCATGCAATAAAATGTAAATTAATTACTTAAAAATCATACAATGTGATTTTCTGGATTTTTGTTTTAGATTCCGTCTCTCACAGTTGAAGTGTACCTATGATACAAATTACAGACCTCTACATGCTTTGTAAGTAGGAAAACCAGCAAAATCGGCAGTGATTCAAATACTTGTTCTCCCCACTGTATGTTCTGCACATTGTAAATATCATGTAGGCCTATTTCAGACAGCAAACTCTCATAACATAACAAAAAGAAAGATATCCATTGCATGCTGTTGGAGATGCAACTTCGTGCGTCCTGACGCAAACGTGGCCAGGTGAAATAAAATATTAATTTAAAACAACGTAGGCCTATCTCTCTGGTAGGCTATTCTCCTTGATACCCCGCTTCCTTATTAGCTTGTATCCCAGTGAGCAGAGTTTCAGATGTCAAATTCATGGTCGCTGTCCATTACCGAGAGGTGCATCTCCGGACTGCACGCGCTGCAGGTGGGGGTGTATTCTGTCCCGGCCAGAACGCGCATGACGCCTGGTTGCATCCCGTGGTGCGCGAGCCTGGGAAATATATATATATATAAACTTGTTTTATTATAATATCACCAGTTCACCACCCAGATCTTCTGAACGTAAGTTGTGGGTTAGCCTCAGCCCGTCTGCACTAAACTGAGATTAAATCACGTTTATTTACTTTATTAATGACAATGACCTGTTCTTGTTGGCGGCCGTGGTCTCTCTGTCTCCGACCAGTTTCCGACCTGAGTTGGAGTGAGCTCGATGGCGCGCGCCAGCTCCCGTTTCATCGCGGGGTCTGGGTAGGGGTCCTGGAGGTACCATTCCCTCAGCAGGCCCCGCGTCCGCTCCTGGGAATCATCATCATCATCACGATCATCGTCACCATCATCATCATAAACTGTAGGTTATTTATGAGAAAATAAAGAATGTTGCGCTTCAAGTAATTCAAACAACAGGTAGATACATTGAAATGAAATGTATCCATAACAATTAAGGTATGGAATTACACCTCCTGAAGAGCCATAGGCTAGTGCATATTAAATACCAATAATCACCAATAAAACAAACAGACCTTGAAGCAGTGTGTCTTCCTCTCGCCATCCCAGATCGTTCTTGGTAACGGGATCTTCTTCCTTACACGGTACATGTCCAGCGGGCCCTGCGACCGCCCGCGCAGCCTCTCAGCCTCCCGGTAGTGCGCCTCGAGCAACATGGCCTGTAGCTTACCTTGCGAGGCGCAGTGCGTAAAGCTGTGTTTCTCCAGGATGCAATAGAGCTCGCGGTAGTTCCCGGTGTGAAAGGCGACCACAGCATGCCAGGTGGCGCGTGCTCGGCGATGGAGCACGCGCCACCTGGGGACACCTGTAGGGACCACAGGAACCGCGCAAGCCGCTCGACGTCCCCGATCTCCTCCAGAGTCTCACACACACTGGCCACCTGACAACAACAACAACTGTCATCTCCAAAAGTAAGACACACAACACAAATAAACAAACACAAACCTGCGCTGCGTAGAAGCGGAGCCCCGGGAGAGCAGAGGCAGGTGCACACGTGGGAGGCTCCTCCGGTAAGAGCGTGCCGGGCAGGAAGAGATGGGCGTGAAAGAGCTCGAGCGGCGACCTGAACACCATCGGGTCAACGAAGAGAAGAGAGAAGAAAAAGACAGTTGTCTGTTATGAGCTCGCTGGTCTGGTGGAGTCTTTCTCTAGCTCACCTGAAGGGCAGAGTGGGACCCTAGTGAAGGGCAGGGTGGGACCCTAGGTCTGCATCTCCATTTGGTGTCCTGCTGGAGGGGGCGGGGCTATGAAAGCAGCGATGCCAATCACAGCGTAGCAGGCGTCAGACCCCCTCCTCTCCTCTCCTACCTCCCGGCTCCTTTCCCAGACTTTATGCACGTACAGACTGTGATGTGTCCTACACTTATTTGTCACATGCGCCGAATACAACAGGTGTAACCTTTACCGTGAAATGCTTACTTATTAGCCCCTTCCCAACAACGCAGAGTTAAAAAGTAAGACAATTTGCAAATTAAAATAGAAAACAGTAACACAATCAATTAAAATAACCAGGCTATATACAAGGACTACCGGTACCAAGTCAATGTGCAGGTGTATGAGGTATTTCAGGTAATATGTACATGTAGGTAGGGGTAAAGGTGACTAGGCAATCAGTATAGATAGTAACCAGAGTAGTAGCAGCTATGGGGATAGTGTGTGTATGTGTGTGTGTGTGGTCAATATGCATGTGTGTGTGTAATTTGTTTGTGTTGGAGTGTAAGTATGTGTGGGTGTGTGGACAGAGTCCCAGTGAGTGTGCATACATAGATTTTTGGCTTTCAAGAGGTGCCCAATCTGCCAGGGCACCCAGGCCATCTTCTAGGGGACAAAGGCCATTAACCAAAATAGCCAATGAAATTGATTTAAAAACGGAAAAACACTAGCTATTCTGTTAAGAAAAACATGTGTATGTAAATGTACATAAACAATTTGCGTAGGTGATAGCCTATGCATATTAGCTACAGCATGTCATGTCCAGACCAATGCTAAGATGAGGGAGGCGCCTGAAAATGTAGCCAAACTTTAATTCAATTTTTAATTAGGCCTACATATATACAGTATAGGTTAAACGCCAGTCATGTTTGACAAATATAATGTAGGATCATTATTAATATTAACATCTAAAGGCTTAATTCTGTCAACATACTTGAGGCACTGTTCTTAAGGCACTGTTTGTTCAAATAGGAGAGAAAGGCCAGTGAGAAAGGCCACCCACCTTGCAATCTGAGTCAAGGCAGTCAACATTTTGAAACTATTGAACAATAAACATAATTGTTTTAAACCTGGACGTTTTTGTCATTTTATGAGGCATGTCTTATCGTGTTCCAACCATAGGACTGTTAAGGGGATTCTCTTATAAACACTTCCACATATGCCATTGAAACCAGAATTTCTCTCATGTTCTCAACTTTCTTTCGGTGTCCAGCAGCCAAAGACACAATCCTAGTCATATTAACAACCCATGCTCGTTGTTGCGTCTTTAGATCTTACCTCTTTCAACATTTCTAAAATATATTTCAATCTTTGTCATATGAACCCACTCGCATTTGCGGTGCACTTTTGAGAACGGTGTTTTGCATTTTTGAACATTCGGCTTACTGCCACGTGTACATGCTGTACTTAATGTGAAGAAATAGCCTAATAGTTTATCAACATTTTAATCTAAACATTCTGATCTGTTGCATCAGTCTCATTTTTGATAGTGGTTGTATTAATTTGGGATCTAGCACGACGTCCCACAACTGTCCCAGAGTATGTTAGGAATATTTCTTGCTCGCACAGAAAAACAAGCTGACCAATAGAATAGGTCAACTTTTGTACTATGGGGGATAGTCGATTGACACAGGCTAGGGCTTTTACTGTTTGTTACTGATCTTGTTGGCTGACAAAAAGTAAATGTGGACAGTTCTAACATCTTCAATATGTGCCTCGGAATTCGATAAGAAGGATGTGCACTGTTGAATCCCCGATGTGTCTGTCTTCACTTGTAGTCTACTTCAGAGCTGCAATGCCTCTGAAAAGGACCCGATCACTTGACAGACATTTGCTAATAAGAATTGAGATATCTGAGAGAGCCATGTGAGTGAGAGATGCTTCGGCGCACGACGATTGGCAGCCAGGAGAAGGGAATTATAATTATTATATTCAGCCCAAGGGCACAACGGCCACGTTGGCCGCAAGGCATGGATTCTTTTCTAGGGAGTATTACGGCCACACAAGGGGGCATCGACGGCCATGCTGCCGGGAAATTCGAGGCCTGGGCTTATGGCTTGGGGGTAGAAGCTGTACAGGTGCCTTTTGGTCCCAGACTTGGCGCTCCGGTACCGCTTACCGTGCGGTAGAAGAGTGTACAGTCTATGGCTTGAGTGGATGGGGTCTTGGACAATTTTCCGGGCCTTCTTCTGACACCGCCTGGTATAGAGGTCCTGGATGGCAGGGAGCTCTGCCCCAGTGATGCACCACCCTCTGTAGTGCCTTGCGATTGAGGGTGGTGCAGTTGCCATACCAAGCGGTGATGCAGCCAGTCAATATCCTCTCAATGGTGCAGCTGTAGAACTGTTTGAGGATATGAGGGGCCATGACAAATATTTTCAACCTCCTGAGGGGGAAGAGGCGCTGCCACGCCTTCTTCAGGACAGAGCTGGTGTGAGAGGACCATATTAAGTCCTTAGTGATGTGGTCACAAAGGAACTTGAAGCTCCCGACCTGCTCCACTACAGTGCTGTCGATGTGGATGGGGGCGTGCTCGCCCCTCCATTTCCTGTATTCCACGATCAGCTCCTTTGTCTTGCTGACATTGAGGGAAATTTGATGTCCTGGCACAACACTGCCAGGTCTCTGTAGGCTGTTGTATTGTCGTCGGTGATCAGGCCTACCTCCGTCATGTCGTCAGCAAACTTGATGATGGTGTTGGAGTCGTGCGTGGCCACACAGTCGTGGGTGAACAGGGAGTATAGGATGGGATGAAGCACACACCCATGTTGGCCCCAATGTTGAGGCAGATGTGTTGGTACCTACCCTCACCACCTAGGGGCGGTCCGTCATAAAGTCCAGGATCCAGTTGCAGAGGGAGGTGTTCAGCCCCAGGGTCCGAGCTTGGTGATGAGCTTGGAGGGGACTATGGTGTTGAACGCTGAGCTGTAGTCAATGAACAGCATTCTCACATAGGTATTCCTCTTGTCACATTGGCCACGAAGAGCGAGATCACACAGTCGTCCGGGACAGCATGTTGCTTGTAAACAGGAAGCAGGAGGAAGGAGTCATGGTCTGATTTGCCAAAGAGAGGGCCTTGTATGCGTTTCTGTGGGTAGAGTAAAAGTGGTCCAGAGTGTTAGCGCCTCTTGTGGCGCAGGAGACGTGTTGGTAAAAGTGGGGTAAAAATAATGTAAGTCTCCCTGCTTTAATGTCCTTGCCCACTAGAAACGCTGCATCTGGCTGTGCGTTTTCTTGTTTGTTTATGGCCCAGTACAGCACCTGCCTGTTTAGTGCCATTCTCGATGTAGACAGCAGTGATGATTACAGATGAAAACTCTCTTGGTAGATAAAAAGGTCTCCAATTTACCATGAGGTATTCTAGTTCAGGTGAGCAAAAGCTGAAGACTTCCTTCACACTTGAAGCAACGCACCAGTACACTATCCGGTCATGATGAAGCATGGAGAAACCCTTGAGTTGTATGTCCATATCGTCTGTCAGACAAGTTTCTGAAAACATAGAATATTACAGTTTTTCACATCCCGTTGGTAGGAAACTCTCTAACGGAGTTCATCCATCTTGTTCTCAAGTGACCGGACATTTGACAATAAAATGGAGTAGAGTGCCGGAATATTTTCTCTGCGTCTGAGTCTAACAAGGACTCCAGTCCTCCTTCCACATCTTTGCTTGCGGTGCTTGGGTTCCCGAACAATGGAGTAGGGTACGATGTAAACAAGGGAACAGCTGAGTTGGACTTGAAGTAGGAGCTGAAATCAAGGTTGAAGTCGAGGTCAGTAGCTGTAGTTTCGTAGTCCAAAAGTACTTGGCGGTCATAGGTGATAATGGTTTGAGCTTTCTGTGCAAAAAAGTAAGGATAAACATGGGGAAAAAACTCATAAAATAGTCGGGTTGGAGCAAGAAAGATGACATCCATCTCTGTCGGCATCATCTTATCTGACATGAGGATGAGAAGAGAAGAGTGTGTTACAAAAAAGGTTACAGTTTATACAGAAAAAGTTGATGATAATAAAGATGATTACATCAGGTGTCTTCTGAATTCTTTAATGTGAATGGAGAATCTCAATTGGATTTCCTCGATTCCTTGCGTCCACTCCTCGCGTCCTTTTGAAAAAGGTCAAAGGTTAAGATTAAGATCACCTTATTGGTCAATTTCACACAATGTCCAACCGAAATTTGACTTCCACTTTTAACCCAACCCCTCCGAAAGACACATACATACAGGTCAAAGGTAATTGTGGAGAGGAGGGGAGGGAACATGTAAACAAATGCGCTTGTAAGAAATTAGACTCTCCTTCTCCACTATAACGTCATCAGGCAAAGGACATTTACAGAAGTGGAATCCAAAAAAACATGTGTAAAGTGGTAAGAAGATACAGTATGTAGCTAGTTGTGCTAAACATTTTATAGATGAAGGGATAAGTATCATATCAAACAGCTGTTTCAGAGGGGTTGCGGATTTCAAAACTCTTCCGTGGTAGGATACATCTGAGCATCCTCTGCCAGAGCAGGCAATTGAGGAGCATTTCAGTGGTGCAACTGGGTAAGGTGCTTCATTAGGGCAGTCACGTGTGTTAGCAAGGCTGATGTCCTGGGTTCGAGCCTCGGTATGAGCCGAATTAGGAGGCAGTGGTATTTGCAAAGCAAGCAGCGTGACGCCCTTTGCAATGGTGCCGTTACCCGGATCTGCAGTTGTGCACAGTTCAACCCTGGGATTGCTGTGGAGTGAGTTTGGGGGGTGAATGTAGCAGATGGGGATCTGTGAAACTTATGCTGCCGAATAGCTAGCTTTTCGGTGGCACGACTGGGATAAGACGCTTCAGGAGGTTGAGGAGATTCACCTATGTTAGTGAGGCTGAGGTCC